AGAAGAGACGGATGATGTTAAACTTATTAAGAATGCTGAATCGTCAGCTTGTTCTTGTGACTTGAGCTTCTAAAACTCACATGACATGAAAACTTGCATGCCCTCTCTGTCATCACAGCCTTGAGCCTCTCCTGTCGAAAAAATTGAAAGATGTTTCATGAATCTCCAACAGCAGTGGTCAGTCTGATCTGAGCAGATTGTTGTCTTCTCTCCCTCAGCTGAGAGGGCGAAAGGATACACCAGTTTAAAGGACTTAACAAAGTCACTTTACTGAAGAAGGAAAAAAGATCTGCTGAGGTCTTAGGATTTGACCCCATCTGCTGGTCAGAAAGTATTATTGAGAAGGGAAACATTAAAGAAGCGTCGTCTGTTTAGATTTGGATAAAAAAAAAAGTAATTTACAGATTTTCCTAAAAGTACACACAAAAATATTTCACCCAAATTGTAATATTTTTTTCACTTTTAGGAGATAACAAATTCCCATTTTCTATTTCTATAATTTTAACACAAGCCTGTTAAATAAACCTTATATGATGCATATTCATTAATTTAATAAAGCTTATTTTAAGAAAGTATATTTTAAGCTAAATAAATACTAATTACTCTATTTACTCCACATACATAAAGTTAATTTGTTTTAATTGTATAATAATCAGGTTACCTTTATGCATTTCAAACAGTAAATATTTGGTACTCTTAAATAAATACACTCTTAGTATTAGTTTTCATCAAGTATAATTTACCAATACTAAAAACATAAATCTGATGATTAAACATTTGGACTTAGACTATATTGATTACTTAGTGGAGACATTTACTTGTCACATTGGGTCAAAAATAAGGTGCCAAAAGGAGGAAAAGGTGCATGTGGTATATACAGTGCGTCCACATATATATAACATATATAACAGCTGAAGTCTCTTATTAAACAGGATGATTGCCCAGGGTATTAATAAACATACTTATTTCAATTATGTTTTATTACACAAATTAATATAGATTATGCAACGTTTATTTAATAGGTTTGTGTTTAAATTATCCAGAAAAGGTAAACAGGAATATGTTATGTAATAAATGTGCATAAATCGTGGATGAATATTTATGAGTGTATCTGGAGGAGCAACATCTTGTATTGAAGGTGATAATCATTTTCAATGTGGAAAAAGATAAAATTGTTTATCAAAGTTTGTGTAAAACACTGTGTACTGGAGGATCATGTGTCAGCTTTGGTTGTGGTTTGAGGACCCAAATGCAGATGTAGAGAGGTAGAGGTAAGTTCTTGCAGTTTTAATGATTGAATCACAGTAACAGAGGCAGGAATCAAAAAATCCAACTTAAAATGTAAAACTTAACCAGAACCATGGAGACATCAGGGGAAACAAGCAGGAGGAGTCAGAGAAAGACGAGGAGAGACGAGGAACCAGCACTGAGGAACTGCACAGGGAGAGTATTTAAGGTTAACTGAACAAAAGGAGGACTAACGAACTGATTGGTAGCAGGTGTGAAGTGAGGCTTCAAGGGAAAGAGCGAAGGAAAAGGAAACCAACACAAGAGGGCAACAGAGAGCAACAAATAAAAACCTCAGAACTTAAAACACATCCAAAAACACAACAAAAATAGGAATTAAACCAATAAAACTAGAAAACAAAGAAAAACATGAATCAACATGGAACTGAAACCTCAAAGAAAACTTAAAAGAACCAAGACCATAAGACTAAAATAGAAATAAACAAAGTGTCTGATAAACATATTTATATATCTTTTTCTTAACACTAGTATATAGAGTTCTTTTTTAATTTCTATTAATAAGATTTAAATTAAAATTCAGATGGATATCTAGAACCTGCATTTTTTATTTATCTGCTTTCGAATCAATACAATTGCAACTGAATGCGTTTTGGTTTATTACCTTTACTTTTCTAGTCTTCTTTCAAATTTCAAACATATTCATTCAAATTGGAAGAGTGTCTGAGAACAGATGTCTAGTAACATATGTTAGAGGTCTGAATTTTGACTAACTGGACTGAAACATCTTAACTCTTTCGTGGTCAATGGAACCTCTTGACTATTAAAGAGGGCAAAGATCCATCGAGATCTAAAAAAAATTGCCAAAAGCCAACATTTTGGATTTTTTTATGGGAACTTTTCATATATGAAAAGTTTTCATATATTTTACTGCTTAATCATATGTAAGGATTCATGATGCATACAATGGTTTACCTGGAGTTCTATTCTACCATGCATTTATTGTCAATGCATTTTAAAGCAAAAAGATATATACGTTTTGCTCTTTAACAGTTCGGTCCCTGCCAGACATGGTGCATAGCTTATTTCAGTTTTAGACCAGGTTTTTGGATTGTGCAGAATTCAGGTTCTTTTTTTTTTTTTATCTCTGATGTAAAATGTAAGTTGCATATATGTGATAACACACCATGGGCCGGATCTATCAAAGGTTTGCGTGTATTAAAACGTGAGCTATTTCACTGCGCACGCTAAAAAATGTACAAACTGATCTATCAACAGCGTGCTAAAAGGATTTGGTCTTTAAAACGTGCTAAATAGCGCCTCTTATCCATTTAGTACTTTTTCTGCAATGAATATGCAATATGGGGCGTTTACACGCTAAAGTGCGTCTTGTGGGAGGAGAACATGTAAATATATTAATTTAGCACTCGCAAAGTGATTTATCAAACCTGAACGCAATTTTGCTAACAGTATCTGACTCTATATTTAACACGTTTCAAAAGAAGGTGCAAATGGTCTGTATGCGTAATTGCGCACACATGGCAGCGGTTATTGTCGCAAGAAGGAGACATCGAAATGAAGCAAGGAGACGCAGAGAACGCATTTTTTCACTCCGTGTGAATATTTTTGGAATGAACGAGGAAACGATCATCAAAACATATCGTTTATCCAGCATTGCCATTTTGGAGCTGTTGGGGGAACTCAGAATGGATTTGGAGCCAGCCACAAGGAGGACCCACGCAATAACAGATATCACAAAACTCCTTGCAACATTGCACTTTTTTGCATCTGGGTCATTCCAGCGTACGGTTGCAGCGAGAGCTGGGATCTCCCAATCTCGTTTTTTCAGAAGTGCTGTCCGACGGGGTCGGGGTTCTCCCCCTGCGGCTGTGGAGCAACGTGCCAAATGCTGCGGGGATCTCATCCACAGTCACAGGCCAATACAAAACACCTGTTTTTTTTTTTGTTTTTTTTTTACTGAAGCACATACCACCTTAGGGAATAAAGGTTGCCAATTGTTATATATATATATATATATATATATATATATATATATATATATATATATATATATATATATATATATATATATATATATTTATTTATTTATTTATTTACTTATTTATTTTTTTGGTTGGGGGTCACTGTAAGATTTAAATTTCCTAATGCACTTGTTTGTACAAACTACAAACTACTTTGCCGCAAACCACAAAACGCGCAAAACCATCATTTAAATAGGGCGTCTCCAACAGTTTTGCACCTGCCACCAGTTACGCAAATACTCTTGTTAAATCACCCGCAAACCATGGTTCAGCCCCTCGCGCAAAATTCCAGTTTGCGAGCGCAAATTACTGCACGCAAAATTGGATCTTGATAAATCCGGCCCCATGTGTCCTAAGTGTTGCAGATATACATACAACAGGGGTGCTCAAGTCCATTCCTCAAGAGCTACTATCCTGAACCTTTTTGATGCACCCCATTTTTAAAACACCTGAATTAAATGAGTGGCTTGTTACCGTTCCTCTGCTGTGCTAAATGAGGGAATTGAGCCTTTAGATTCAGGTGTGTTAGGGAAGTGATACATCTAAAAGTTACAGGATAGTAGCTCTTAAGGACTGGACTTGAGCACCCCTGACATACAACAATATAGGCAAAACATTCTGTAAACAATCAAATGTTATTAAAATAAAATGTCAGACCTTTAGTTGCTGAATTTAATGAAAACTTATTTTGTTTCCGCAAAAGTGGATCTCATTTTTTGCCTTCTATCCAGTGATGAGGCACTCCACTGCCTGTACAAGGAGTAAACTTGAACTTCTCTCATCACTTTTGACCTAATGTGAACTGTAGATGATCTACATTCTGACAAACCAGTTTCGATGATGCCTCTTACTTCAGGACTTGTCCCTCTGCAGCCTTGCCTAGCTGTTTGCTCTAGATAATATAATCTGAGTGATCTTCATGTTGACCGTCTTGCCTGTTGACACTGCAACTTCATGTAATTTAATCAAGACACCATCAATGTGGCTTACAGTAGAACCTCTTTAACCAGTGCTGATAGTTAAAGGTGAAAAAAAAAACATTTCCTTAGAAAACATTTTTGTTGCCAGGGTGGGCCATTTTCTAATGAAGTTTAGTCTGGCACATAGATGTTCATATTTTGACTGTGACTCAGTATAAAGGGAGTGTCCCTTGGCACATTAAACGCATTCTCTAATTAATTGCTCATCTTATGGATGAACCAGTTTGTGAGGTGTTACCTGAGTAGGGAGACATCCTGACCGCAGAGATTAAAAATGCTTTTGTGTTTGTTCTTTTACTTATTTCAACTTGACAGACCAAGAAAAAAATTGCATAAGATGGAAAAAAAACAATTGGTAATTTGTGCAGAATGTAGATTTTTATCAAAAAGAGTATGTGCTCGTTTTGTATGGAGTGAAACAAGCAAAAAAGTAATTTTAACAAGCCAAAGCACAACCAAATAGCCGAGATAGAAAGAATTAAGCCGAGCAGCTATAATCAAAATCTATAAAAAATATCAAAGTAAAAAAATAAATAAAAATCAGGATTTTTTTAATCATGAAAATTTTAATTGGAGTTTATTTAGGTTTTGCATCCCCAATAGAATTCAACAAATTTAAAAATGCGAAATATATGAAAACTTTGCAGTGCGAATGGGTACTCCATAGAAAATGTCAAATATTGAAGGACATTAATGTTTTTTTAAAGGTATTTACTGGACAAGAAAATCCAAATAATGAAGCAAATCATACAGTATTTTATTTTTTAAAGAACAATCAAGGAAATAAAAATGTCTAGCCTTCTAAAATGTACCCTTATAGAAGTTAAAAATCAACAACTTAGTGCACTTTAAACCATGATTATCTTGATTTCAAACTCTGTTTCATTTTAGTTACAAAACACACAAAAGAAATGCAGCATCTGGTGATGAATGGCTTTATATCCCCGTTACATTGATGCATTTGCACATTGTTTTAAAGTGATTGATTAAACACACCAAAACCCACAATTTACAGCAAATTACACAGCATTGAAAGGGTTAACAGACCACACCAACAGAGCAGAGCAAAAAAACACTTTTTTTTATTTTGTTTGCGCTAATTAACGGGACTCACCGAAAACAATGCTGATCTGGAATAGATTAGCTTCCCTGAAAGTTTAAGGTGTAAAGTTTTGTTCCTGATTATCTCTTTTCCACGTCAAGTACATAAAACTCAGTTATTGCACAAAAGCTACAGTTCAATTAGTATAATTTCTTAGGAATAATACCATTAAACAAAGATAGACTCAGAGGAGTCATGAGATTTGATCTCAAAAGAATTACAGGTGTATCCTGTAAACTGTGTTAATTCAACTACTTTTTTGTCACAAAAGCTTTTTTCATTAGAATTACGATTGTGACAGTGCCACAAAAAGAAAAACATAGTTTTTATATCCGCACACAATCCAGCACCCGTGTACAGCTGAAATCAGATCCCAGCATGCAACATACAAAAACACTTTTCTTTCCTTGTGTCTGACATTAAATTGGATAAAATCTTTCCTCTAAGGTCAATAAGATTGAATAAATGCCAGAATAGTTAGAGGAAACTAATACTTTACTTTTTTATAAGTTAATGAACATTTTCTTAATATTTAGCTAACAACAACCTGATCCTCCTCCCTTTTCCTCCAAATCTAATGCTCACTTTTCGACCAATTCAGACTTCTTTAAGGTCAGACACTAAAAAACAAAATGACGTTTTAAACACCCTGCATGTAAATACCTCATTTCAATTTTATTATTATTTAAAATCAGGTATTTTCTTATATTCATTTTGTTCTCCCTGAGAAACTGAACACTTTAGATGACATTTCAAATACTTCAACAGTATAACGTTGATTTTTAAGGCTACAAACCAATCGGCAAAATCATTATGACTCGTATACTGGCCTTAATCTTGATGTTACTTTGATCCTCGCTGCCTTCCTTAGCATTTCTGAGAGATATACAGTAGCAGCAGCTGTGGGAAGAATGCAAACTAAAACATTTTATTGGTCATAATGTTATGCCTTATCAGTGTTCATATTTTATTAGTTCCTATTATTCATTAACACCGTTTTATTATTAAATGCAAATAAAACTTGATGGGATTTGAAAGAACCATATATACTGTTTTAAACCAGTAAAATAAAATAAAGTGCCTCCTTTTGTCTGATTTTTACCAGAATTTTAAGATATAAAAAAATTGTATCAGTAAGTTGATTTCCTGACCAAATATAGTGATTTATTGAGTTAGTTAGTTATACACAGATCATGAAAAAAAAACAAAAAAACCTCATAGGTAGACCCTTGCTGCAGCACTGGTCATATCCAAAAGGTTTTGGCACCCTGGTAAAGATTAGAGATGCACCGATCCAGTTTTTCCGATCCAATCCAATACCTATAACTGGACTGAGCTTATTTGCTCATATCTGACACTGATCCAATTCATCTGCTGAATGCATGGCCCATATGTCCGTACATGAGAGTGAAGGTTTTAACCTCATTAAGAGAAATTACAGTTTTGAAAAAAAAAAATACCTGCTGCTACAAAAACAACCAAATATATATACATAGATTTTTTGTTTGTTTTAATTATTGCTATCATCTTTTCTTTGCACGTGCAACACTGTTGGTGTTGATAAGATGGAAAGCAGGCGGAAAGGAAACAGCATTTCTATCAATTTTTTCACTCTGACACATCTGGAGGGTTTGTCTTATCTTCACGTGACGAAACCCTGCAGTTCCAGTTAAAGGTCCAATAGCTTCAGCGAATGCTCATATATCTACCTTTTAAGTTGGTGGGACTGAAAGATATTTTTTCTGGTAAGCAGTCTACTGTATACAGGAGATCCGTACCTAGATAGCATCTAAGGCCTTGATTTAGAGATTTTTCATGTCATGGCTCAAATAATTCTGGAAAGTCCTACGTCTACATTTTTATTTAGGGTTATGATAAATTACAGTTCGTAGTTTTTCTTGTGCATTAATTATTGCATTATTTAACTTTAAAAGCAGTTATAAAGTTCATTAAAGTAATAATGGTGCATTCCTCTTCAGAAATGATTAAAATTTTTAATAAGAGTTGAAAAATAAGGATAGCTGGACTCCAACTTTCCTGGTAAAACAGGAGAAAACCATGTTTAGTAAATACATTAGTTATAATATTAGGTATTTAAACATTTGCAAATAGGAGTGAGTTTCGATGAGAACCCGCACCTTTAAAGGGTATCGATACATGGCATGTTTGTTCGTCTTTTAAGGACCCACAGCAAACAGGAAATTACTAATAGAAAGCTCATAAAAGCTTAGATCAATTTAAAAATACTCAGTATCATCAAAGAAAAATGTTTCACTTTTTTCATAGGAATCAATCCTGGACTGAATGATGGGTTTTTGTATCAAACTTTTTAGTATAATTAATTTTTTGAAGGAATTGTGAGGAAGAAAGGGTAGAGCAGAGAAGGAATGGATGGATTCACTGCTTCTGTTGTTTTCCACACCAGTGTAAAAGATTGGTGTAACCCTATTTCAGGTGTCGGGTAGAGCGCCTCATTATCTGCAACCTGCCTGGTGCCGAATGTCCCTGCCTGATGTAACACCTGTGGTCTTTTGTTCCTCACCTCTAACATGTGTATCCTTTCACAGGTCTGCAATAAGGCATTAAACTTTTAAAAAAAACCAAACAACATCTGTCAAAAATGAGACGTTCCAGTTAAAAATACCTTTGAGATCTGTACGTGAGGGATGTTTTATTGAACAATGCGATTTAAATTCTGTCTCCCTGACCTTTGGTTGATCATTTTAAAGTTAATTTCAGAAGCATGAGAAAATGCTGAGAAGTGCATGCTTTTCTTATTGGTTATCATATCATATCATGCAACTTCCTTGGGGGTTTTCTACACTGCATTACTTAATTCTTAATTAGCTGAAAATTGCCCTTCATATGAGGGTGAGTTTGTTTTTCATTATAAACTGCCTATTCGGGGTTTCTTTACTTTCAACTCATCTCTCTCTCACAATTTTTTCCAGACAATCGACTATATCATTCCCGGTGACCCATGGAACTATGTTTGCCTTTGGCTTGGCAGACTGGGACTGCTGCATCTCCAGCAGCAACCTGTGCATGGGGTAATCCCGCCTGGCAAAGGCAGTGTCCTGGGGTCCCAGGGCGTGAGAGGGGCAGACGTCGTTGGACCCATCGCCAACATAGAACACCCTCTGGAAACCCACCCCGCCTCGCTCCTTTTCCCGATCCGCCAAGTATTCACGCAAGATTGCCTGCTTGCACATGTTTTCGGGGCAACGTGTGCAGGAGTGTGAGTGGAAAGGGCGGAGCACAAGGCAGCCCGCGGTGTCAAAGTGGGAGGGGTTGGTGAAGATTCTCTTGAAAAGGTGGCGGAATCCGGCGTGCTCCAGCCACGTCTCTATAAAATACATGTTGGCGTCAGAGACCACCACCAGCTCAAAGTCCTGCTGATGGCTCTGCAGAAACCTGAAGAGGTCCAGAAGGCCGGGGTTGGGTGGGATGTTCTCTACACCAGACTTGATGCACTCCTTGGTTACACCTTGATCTGCCAGGTAGGCCATGATCTTTGCTGAGTACTCGTGGTAGTGTCCCTCTCGGTAGCTGTTAACGAGCCAGGCAGGAAGCTCCTGGCTTGGCAGCAGGCACACTGCTGAATCATCGCTGTTGTCGCGTATGATGGTCTCATCGAAGTCGAACAACATCAAGAAGCGCGGCTCTTGTGGCGCTGTGTGGTTTGGCAGAGAGGCCATCTTTGGTGGTCCTTTTCTGCAAAACAAAACATTTCTCTTAATGGTTTTTACACCGATCATGTTCAGAATGTTTCTTTTTTTCTTTTCCAAACAGGGTTTGCAAGCAAAGAACCAGAGATACCATCTGCTTAAATACCACAGTAAGCCCAGGAGAAAAGCAAAATACCTAAACACCTAATTAGACCTCAGACTGGTGTTTCTATGGGGTAAGAATAAAAAAAAGAAGACATAAAGAGGATATCCACAATAATAAGCTGAAGGAAATAGTCAGTAAGTAGCTCAAACGTACTGCATTAAGTATAAAATACTACAGCAGGCTCTGATCTACATCTTCTTTTATTCAGAAACTCCTGCTTTCCTTTCAGGATCCCTGCCCAGACTTGCTGGTTGTCGTAAAATGTCCCCTCCTATATTTACAGAGCAAACACCTCCAATTATGAGGAGTGCTGCACAGCTCATCACTGTGTTCTGAAGAAATGCAGTCAGATTACTTCTGCTTTCACTCTTTAGTCACCCTGAACTGTTTTAGATGACATAGATTTTAATTTTAAGCAGATATTTCTACGAAAAAAAGTGTTCCCTCTTTACATAATAATGGAGGAAACAACTGCTGTCAATATGCAATAGCTAGAAAGATAAAATTTCATATCTCTGTGAGGAAACTTTGGCTTAATCATAATTGGAACGCTCTTACGCATGACCAACCTAATATAATACAGCCTCTCCATGCGATTTAGGTCCATACTACTAGGACATTACATTTTTTTAAAAGAGATATTTAAAGATAGATCCAGTCATTAGTTTTTTTATTGTCTTGCAGCCTCACCAAAGTGCTCTTGAGCCTTGGTCAACAACTAATCACTGGTTATCCTTCTGTAGGCTTTATCAAGTAGAGAGCAGATTGAATGGTTCCATTAACTATGGATGGTTGTCCAGGTCCTAAAGCAGGCAGTACTTACTGACCATCATACTGTCACTACCATGTTTGAATGTTAATGTGATGTAGTTTTTTTGTGAAAAACTGAGTTAGATTTATATTAGATGTAAAGGGACAGATCCTTTCAGAAAATGTTACTTTTGTCTCATAAGTTCACAGAGTATTTTTTCCAAAAGTATTTAGGATCATCAAAAAGTTTTTTTTTTTAAATACACATTGTGGATTAACCAATCTATATTCAAGCATTACACGACAACCATCACCAACACGACAGTGACTGCTGCCGCTGCATAACGTCCACACTCACATCATCAGCAGGGTTGCCAGATGTCACTGACTCACATTTTCCAGCCCGAAATCTCGCCCAATTTGAATCAAAGTCTATTGGTCTCTTAGGCCATTAATCTAAAGAAAAACATTTTTTACCCATAGGCAGCCATCCTAAACAGCCAGATTAGGAAACATCCCAACCTGGCAACAATGCACGTAAGACGGGAAACGTTAGCCTTAAAATGCAAAACCCCATCATGCACCGCAACTATTTTTGCAAAATATTCAAACATAAATCTGCCAAATATAAGAGGAACATCGTAGTTTGCTTTAAAGTAAGCATTTTAGTTTTATTATAACTTAGTTTGTTGCAAGGATTTTACAGTTGGAAGAAATAGAAAATTACACCATATGCCAACTGTCACAAGGATGTGCATGACAAGGAAGGGCTATATATACTGCACGCATCATTAAGGTAGTAAACATTGTATTACTTCTTGAGCTCTTCAGATTATTTACTGTCACAGGTAGGTGTTTTGGCTAAAGAGTAATTGTTGGGTATGATTTGGGTATGACGGTCCTTGCACGCTGACATTAGGACCTACCCACAGGGAGAATGCCCGGTATCACAGTATCACCAGTCCGAGCCTGCTAGGCCCACTCCAGCTGTAAGGAGCTAATCAAGAAGGACATTTTAAAAGCGATGCTAAAGTTACCTTGTATCCCCTTGAGAAGTAAGTGAACTTTACTCCCCAAATTAGCCCAAAGCTCCACTTTTTTGTACAGGTTTACATGGGTTTAGTAGCTATAAAAGCCACAGTGAATGCTGGCTTTTTGTCACAGTAAATGCACGCTTGTAGAAACTTCATGTCACTTCAGATGAGATGGTTACATCTGCATTGAAGAAGCTTTTTGACACATGACGGCCAGCGTTCCTGCAATCTGGGTTTGAAGCAGTGACACAATCAGTTATAGCAGCAGCGGTCCCCAACCTTTTTTTGCACCACGGACCGCTATATGTCAGACAATATTTTCACGGACCGGCCGAGGCGGGGCGGGGAATACGATCAAGTAAAATGATACGACTGGCATAAAATCAAATACAAACAGCATAAAAATAACACAACAAGCCGGTCCCATCTAGGCGTAATCGGAGACAATGACACACGAAGTGTGCTCCTGATGTCCAGTCTGCTCCGTAGCTTTGTTTTGGTCACTGTATCCGCAGAAAATCCCGCTTCACAAAGATAGGATGTTATAGATAGGATGAGTCTTGAACTGAATTAACCTGTGTAAAGAGGCACAGATGCACCGACTGATGTAATTGGGAGACTCTGATCGTCGATAAATTGTATATATATATATACACTCACCGGCCACTTTATTAGGTACCCCATGCTAGTAACGGGTTGGACCCCCTTTTGCCTTCAGAACTGCCTCAATTCTCCGTGGCATAGATTCAACAAGGTGCTGGAAGCATTCCTCAGGGAGTTTGGTCCATATTGACATGATGGCATCACACAGTTGCCGCAGATTTGTCGGCTGCACATCCATGATGCGAATCTCCCGTTCCACCACATCCCAAAGATGCTCTATTGGATTGAGATCTGGTGACTGTGGAGGCCATTTGAGTACATTGAACTCATTGTCATGTTCAAGAAACCAGTCTGAAATGATTCCAGCTTTATGACATGGCGCATTATCCTGCTGAAAGTAGCCATCAGAAGTTGGGTACATTGTGGTCATAAAGGGATGGACATGGTCAGCAACAATACTCAGATAGGCTGTGGCGTTGCAAAGATGCTCAATTGGTACCAAGGGGCCCAAAGAGTGCCAAGAAAATATTCCCCACACCATGACACCACCACCACCACCAGCCTGAACCGTTGATACAAGGCAGGATGGATCCATGCTTTC